ACCTCGCTGAATTGTTATGTATCTGGATATTGACCAGAAATATAAGCATTTTATATTAATTGAAGTTTTTTTTAACAGAAATGGCGTACAAGTATTGTAACATTTTCTTTAATTACTAAAAAATGGATACCTGTTAAATGTCAATATCATTCTTTATGAAAAGAAAGACTATATTATTTTGTGATGCAACATATAGATTATATATAATTTTCATTTTATATGAAATTTTTGCAATTTTTAGTACTTGCTGCGACAGGCAAATACCATGTCAAGCTATGCCTGGAATTTTTATGAATTACCATACATTAACTCTTTTGTATAATTTCTTAATTGAATGGAAATAACAAATATCATGAATTAAATGACTATTTCAAAGTTGATGTGCCTAAAACAAAGTATTTGCAAGATTTCTCAAAAGACATTGGTGCATTAATTCTCATTACTACTAAACATTTCCTACTTTTTTCATATTAACTGTTCAAAAGTACTACCTCTTTAATTTCAGCGAGTCATAAATTACAAAGTTTTAACCAAACACACTGTCATACACTTGCGTAATAGGATGATATTTCATAAACTTTAAAACTACTGTCATGTGCAGTGTACAATCGTTAAAGTGTCCTTTAAGATTTGTACGCATAAAGATGACGTATAACGTTAGGTCTGCTTTGAATCAGTGATTTTGGACTTATATCGTGCCCTTCACAGGTAAGGTCACCCAGATTACAAGCTCATCATTTCCGCTACTGGTATACTCATTGATTTGGTCTGATCTTATCATGTTTATAAAGGTAGATAGGGAATATTTTCATTTTCCCTAATCTTACAATCTGATCTGTTATTCTGTTCATCATTGACCGACCGGACTTCTGTTTAGGCATTTCTTGTCGTGCCTTGCAGCTGATAGTTACACGCTGCATCACCTTTCGCCCTTTTGCGACCAATTGGCCTTAAATTATTCCAGTCAGTGGAAAAAAATGATTAAAGATAAACAATTCTGAAAAGACATCATTTCTTAATTACTCTTACATGAAAATGTTCAAAACAAGAAAAAGCAAAGACGTGTTCGTCTGGTCACTCAATTATTTATGGTTGTTTCATATCAAAGCAGCATATTGAATATCGGAGCCGTTTTATTACTATTTTCATTTTCCTCTGATAATGGTCCGTCGCTATAGCTTTTAGATTTATGATTGTAATCTGTCTTGTGCATTTAGTAAGCTTAAAGAAATCGTTTGGTAATATTTGCGTGATAATGAGACCAATAATAAGCCAACATCATGTCAGCACCAACCTTTATTAAAAAGATCTAAACAATACTAGATATATACAATATTACTGCCTTTTACAGTTGATAATGGGTGGAGAAAGTAGGGGCTAAGCTTAGGTACGAATTGATTTTTTGTAATTGTAATCTGTAAAAAAAACTCCATACTAGTGCTCGTTTAAGAAATGCTAGCGATTTTAACCAAGGAAAAGGTCAATTGATGCACACAAATATAGCATTTAGTCACACTTTAAATCCTAACAGTTTATATCGGCTTTGTCAGCTATTAAAAAATTAATTGATCTTTATTTTTATTCAATAAATGCAAAAAAGACCTTGAAAAGTAATTATTGGATAAAAACTACTGTAAAGAATATTGATTCCTGTTAATCAAATTCCAGCTGTTTTTGGCATCATTAAGAACAAAGCTCGAATTCTGTCTTTATATATATATATATATATATATATATATATATATATATATATATATATATATATATATATATATATATATATATATAATGTTCATTGATTTTTATATCAAAAATTCAAACAGAGGCGGAACGGGGATCTGTGTTCATTAAAAACACATGCATTTATGCATTTATAATTAGTACTCAAACAGCAAGCTCTTCCTGGCCTCAATTGGTCGTTGTCACTCGAGTCGATGATCCTATATAGATAAAGTGATATTTTTTGTCTTATTTCCCCCTTGTCCAGTCGATTTTTGTCATCGATCGGCCAGTCAATCGGGTATTAGTATTTGCTTTTTAGATAATCCTGGCTCTCGCGTGGAATACCGAGAACTTTTATTTACCGAGGTGCCTGAAGCACAAGAAAGTAAGCGGGAGTTGTGCGTTTGTTTTAGTTCCTGTGTTGGCTCTAATTACAACTCTGTGTTAGAAAAAGTACATTGTTTGATAAGTGGATTTAAGGGAGACATTTAAAAGATCCATATTATACTACGAGTGATCTGACAACTTTATGAATTATTGTGATGTGTTCTTACCGTATGTTTAAAAAGATATGATTGGATTCATTAACTTATTCTGTTAAGTGAAACGGATGATTCCAATTTATAGTTCATAAGCAGAACATAGAGGTTTGTAATATTTCTCTGGGGAAAATTAGGGGACAGTGTTTCATTCTTTTCAATAAACGCACAATTAATGACTCAGATTAAGTTGTCGCATTCATTAGTTATATCAAAGGGTAAGAAAAAGTTGTTGACCTCCTGATCAAATAAAACCAAGCTGCTATTAAGGTTAGTAAATAAATAAATTAATATTCCTTTTTTTTATCATGCCCTCCAAGCCCGCCGTTTTAATCAAATATGCAAACCAAACAACATACTCTGGAGAATTTACTGTCGATTTTTAATGGAATCGAACATCTACTGATAAATGTATCTGTTGTAGGACACTCGAGAACGATCATACATGTACAATGAAGAGTCATTTTAGCTCACCTGAGTCAACAGCAGCAATCTTACTGAACGAAGTCTAAACGTCTTTTAAATAGAACTACTGAATTCAACTTCTTTTGAAGAATATCTGGACCGATTAAACAATCATTCTTTGGTTAATTGTCAAATTAAATGTCATGGTCAAGCGTCAGGTTTTCCTTCTCGGAGAGATAACAAGGAACAATAAAAACAGCAAAGTTAATCCTTCTCTTAAAAACATTGATGCCAGATGGAACAAGTTTCTTACATAAAATTATTCAAACCTTGACCCATGAATTAAGACAGGTGTCTCAGTAAGGTTCATTTAAATCATTTTTTTTAACTGAAGGACGATCCAAGTACAATAAGCCTTCATTTAATTTTTCAAATTGGTATGCAAAAATACTTGAGTGGTTTTTTTTTTTAAATTTGCAATCAAAAGCTTATCTAAGATAAATGGTATATAAGCTTGTGTCTTACCACTTTCTAATCAGAAGACAGGTTTAATGTAACGTTTAATTTCCGTAGACTTTTTTGTGCACTAGATTTTTTAAGTACGTACTTGAAAGATTTTTCTTCTATATACGCATATATCTTAGATATTTTGTGGATTAAATGCTTTTTCGAGTAAAAACAAAAAAAAGATACACATTCGCTGTACCCAAAATCTCGTAAAAGTCTTGAATGAATCAAAGAATAGAAAGTAAAATGGTCACCCGAATTATCATATTTTAGCATTAGTTCAATAAGTGGATTCATTGTGGCAAGCTTGTTGTCGAGTTCAGTTGCCTTTACGATATCTTGTCCTAAGATATGATAGCAAGCTTGTATTCTTATACGAGTTAAGTAAAAAAAAAATGTATGATTTAGAGCAAACTTCGCGAGGAATTTTAAATCCAGCTTTTACATAATAATAATATATGCACTGTAAAAAAAAAAATCAGCATGATTACATAAAGAAAATCAAGTTTGTGTACAAGCCCTCTGTGTAGTTTGAGAAATGAATATGATATATTGTTTGTGTTTTATTGGTTAAATTTGTAATAGCAAATGGTGAAAGCCATATTACTGTAGAGAGAAGAATAATCCCAGAGCCTCTTGTTTTAATTTAAAAGTAGATATTTAATCTGCAAATGGAAACTGTACAAATATTTATTAAATATGCATCAAATCAATCTGGCCTTCATCCTTGAAATTTTTGAATTATTCCCTGATCGCCATTCTTCTTATCAGAGAATACATTGTAGTTCAATCCACATTGCCAGACACAGAATTGGAATCTCAGCTGTTCAGCAGGCTTGTTGTAATTGTAGAAGCCAGAAATTAAAATTAAACACCTGCATGTGTTGTCTTAGGAAATTTATGAATATAAATGTCTATAGATCTGTAGGTCCAAGAACTTTATAAATAAATTAATTGTGTTTCCTATAGATAAGAAATGCTACATGTATGTATGGGGATTGCTAGTCTAGTATATATCATTGAAAAGCGTATGAAACTATGCTCCTTTTAAAACCTATTTTTCTTGGAATTAAACAAAGACAAAAAAAAAAACTACATAAGTACTTTGGTATGTGAGCTATAGTTTGATATTTTCCGTAAGAAAAAACATTTTAAAATATCTAGGAAAGTTTATAACGTAATACATGTATCTTTCTACAAAGTTATTTGTACAAAAGATAGATCTTTTTGCCCTACAATAACGTCAAAGGTTTTCTTGTTGTAAAATTTCCTATTTAAAGCAGAAACAGTGTCGATTTAAAATCATTTTTCGAGGGGGTAGGGATTCAAACTATTATAATGAAGCAGATATCTGTGTTGAAAAGAGATATGGGCGTTTTCTAAGGTTATAGAAATCAAATCAAATAGCTTTCACAGAAACATATATAATTCATCTGTTTAATTTTTTATTAATCAAAATGATTTCATTCTATTTGTTTTTCCCCAAAAATTCTATTCATTTTAAACAACTACATGTACAAAACATATTTTCAGATGTCAACAAGTACAAATTTTACCCATTCGGAGTACCCAAAATATCATAAAAGTCTTAAAAGCGTTAAAGAATATATCACAAAGGAAATATCTGAGTTTTTAGCATCATTCCAGTAAGTGTATACATATGACTATAGCTTGTCGTCTTCTTCAGTTGTCTTTACTTCTTGTATTGTCCTGAGCTGGCCCTATTGATAGGATCGTAAGCTTGTCTTTTGTATAAGGTTTAATTTATATGCACAGTTCATGGATTGCACGTTCGAAAAGACTAAGATCGATACTTTTTAATTTCAGACAAAAGATTTCTTTCATAATGAAAGAGACAGAGGAGAGCCATGAAGTATTCGAGAAATTCCGGGATAACACGAGAACTTAGGACGATTGTTGGAATTCTGACCGTTCTTATCTGGCGGACTAAACAGCAATGATTCGGTGCTTAATAAATATGGAAATATCCATAGAAACGTTTCTTTGAATGTAATTGAGGATAAAGAAAGAACTACGTAAAGAATGTTTTATCTTCCATGGAATTTACCTAAGGGAGTCATTAGAAAAGTACCTGTGTGAAATGTGTATCTTTTTTTCGTTTTGTTCTTATAGGAGGAAAATTCCTACAGGTTGTTGTGATCTCTTTGTGGTTGACCTGTTGTAAATATTGTAACATAAATCAGGTATGGGTCTTGAGAATGTATCCTGGGATAACTTGATGGTGTCGGCCTCGGAAGCTGTGTTTAACGACAAGTGTAATTTTGATAATTTTTCTCATACACAAATGAACTGCAGTGAGATTGACTTTTCAAACAAATCGGATAATATTTCTGTGATAGTGTCTCAAAATCTTTCCTATTTTCTTCCTAATTGTTCTTTTGGGAATACGTCGCTTGGGAATTGTTCCACGGAAAACGTTTCAAATGTTGCCACCAAACCTGGAAAGTCTCTTGCTGAAATAATTGTAATAGCACTGTTATGTGCAATTCTTTCCATCCTGACTATAGGGGGTAACTTACTGGTTATAATAGCTTTCAAAATGGATAAACAGTTACAAACAATAAGTAACTACTTTTTGTTAAGTTTAGCTGTTGCTGATATGACGATTGGATTTGTATCAATGCCTCTGTATTCTGTGTATATTATTATGGGAGAATGGCCCCTGGGCCCTGTGTTTTGTGATTTCTGGTTATCCTTGGACTATTTGATGAGTAACGCATCAGCTGCAAACTTAATGCTGATTAGTTTTGACCGTTACTTCTCCGTAACCAGACCTCTGACTTACCGTGCAAAGAGAACGACTAAGAAGGTCGGAATTATGATTGGATGTGTATGGTTAATATCCTTGTTATTATGGCCGCCATGGATTTTTGCATGGCCGTACATTGAAGGGGTTCGATCTGTTCCAGAAAATGAGTGTTATATCCAGTTTATTTATACAAACATATATGTGACAATAGGGACACATTTTGTTGCTTTTTGGCTTCCTGTTGCGCTAATGTGTTTTCTTTATTTTAAAATATATAGAGAAACTGAAAAAAGACAAAAAAGAATGCCAATGCTGTTGGCAACAAAAGACTTTAAGGGGTTCAAGAAAAGTTTATCACAGGAACAGAACTTGATGTATTCGCCACGATCCTCGTCTTTGGAACTGGACGACATGTATGAACTAGCAGAAAGCCTGGCCCAAAACGATAGATCGTGTTCTCGTTGGTTTTGCTGTAAAATAGATCGCGATGACGACTGCGATGAGCTGAGCAGCAGTGACCAAGCGTTGCCGTTAAGCTTAGAAGTTGAGTCGACAGGCAAACCTGCGCACCCATCTAAACATGCCAATGGTTGCCACCGAAATGGAGGACCTTCTCGCTCAAATGGATTTGTTATTCCGCTAATTGCGATGGGTTCGAGTCGAGCGTCCTCTGTCATCACTTCTCCGGAATCATTAACCAAAACGTCAAGTGCGAACACAGATTTATCGGCGTTGACCAATGAATGTCAAAGTCCACTTCTCGATGATACTGACGAACTCTACACTATTGTCATTAATATCCCTAGGGAGGAATCAATTAACATAACCCCTAGTCCATCCATTCAGATGACTGCAGACACGCAAGAAGTCAATCAAAAATACAAATCGGGACCAAATAGGAAATCTGATTATGAACTTGAAAAAATTTCGGAGGAAGTTATAGAGCGTATATCCACCGAAGAAGGGTTAATGTCAAGTAGTGAGTCTATTCCATTACCAAAAGGGACTCCGGCACTAGGACGTCGGACTAGGTACACAGACGCAAATAGAACTGCTCAGCAGGCAAAAATTGCTAAACAAGCTGCACTTAAAGTAAAACAACAACAAAGAGCTAGGAAGAAACGAACAGAACGAAAACAAGATAAGAAAGCTGCCAAAACCTTGAGCGCCATTTTATTTGCTTTTATCATTACATGGTTGCCATATCATGTTGCGACTTTAGTAGAGGTTTCGTGTCCAGGTTGCGTTCCTATGACCCTTTACACCTTTGGTGAGTACTAACAACCGACCTTAACTTATTTATAGTTCCCCTTTATTAAAAAAAGAAGTGTTTAAGGGTTTCGTGACCGTTCATTTGGTCCGTAAAATGTCTTTGGCAATCAGGAATATTATAAGGCATTATTAATGAAGCTGGCATTATTATCTTTAATTTATCGACCTACTCAAGTAAAAATCAATTCTATTCGTGTAAATTGTAAAATAGGGCAAATGCCACTCAATGTGATTTATAGGAAAAACCCTGATTTAGCTTAAAATGTGTAAATATATTGAATTCCAATCTCAAGCATTCAATTAATTGCCCTTGCTATATTTCTCCTTTTTTTATAACAGACATGTTTAAATAAGGACAATTGCGTTCGATCAGTCTTGACGCCTGCTCCCTGGTATAAACCTTCGACCTGATTGACCGTCATACGACATTTGTCCAGGGAGGGGGGGGGGTTAATATATAACTGGAGCAAGGAAAACTTCGTGATAAATATATGTTTTAGCAATAATAAAGCAGGTGCAAACTGTTTTACAAATTTCTATTAATTTTTTATGTATAACCTTTCTTTAAATACAACCGAAGCCTTTTATTTAATTAATTAAAATACGTAAAAGCAATTTAACTTTCTGCGATAAGTCTGTGTAAGAGTGTAATATGACCATGTTCTTTTAATTGTTCATTAATTGGAAATGATTAATTAAAAGGACAAAAAATCTAATATTCAAATTTTTTTAATTTTGATTTTGTAAACATGAAAATCAAAAAAACAAAACAAAACCAAAAACAATCTAAATAAGTAAATACTGTATATAGGGTTTTCACCCCGTGTTATTTTCGCCCTTTCACACTTGCAAACAATTTTGCCCTGTTTTTGATTCGCCCAGTCACAGTTCTGTTAAGAAATAAAACTGTCTTCTTTAAATTCGTCCCATCTTAAATTCGCCCAAATGTGTCTATGGCGAAAAAGGCAAAAATAAAACAGAGGCGAAAATTTCCCTGTATACAGTATACGTATGATGCAAAATATCAGATGTACATTTACATGCAATTATCAACTTTAATTTTATAGAAACCGGGGTTATAAGACAACTATGGATAAAAAACATCAGAAATTACTTCTTCTAATCGGAATTAAAAAGTTATATATCCTTCATTCTAAGTTCGTCAATAATGTTGCTAGGCATATGTAAACGAATGTATGGCACTTAAAAGATTTTAATGGCAATATCTATTTTTAGTAAAAATTTAAAAATTCACTAGCAATTATCAGGAATGTGGGCTAATCTTAAATTGGAACTTCTGTGAGGTGTGAAGATTCAGATTATGTGTTCCTCTTCTAGTCCTTCTCAAGTAATTTTAAGGGTGATCCAAAGTGTTATCAAAGTGTCTTTCATCTCACGCCATAACACATGCAGACGTCAAACTCGCCAGAAGAAATTGACAAGTTACCCGTTTTATGGTGTAGTGTGATTGCTATTACTGTATTACTGCGCTTCTACTGTCAGGAAAATTAATTCTTTAAGTAAATTATTATCTTAAGGAAGCAACATACTCGTGAATGGAAGCCTAAGTTAGGTAATAAAAATGACGCTTTTAGCCACTCCAGGATATATAATGAAGTAATGGACATACGGAGCTGGATTAATTATTCTGTTAACAAATTCATCTCTAGAATGAAGTTTGTACCCTTCTATTAAAGAACTTTTAAAGAACACGGAAGGAGATACTATTTGCGATCTACAATTTTGTTATAATCATAAAGGATTAAATGAATTTACTGCGGGCGATTGACTCCCAATGAGAAAAAAAGATTCCATAACCAGTAGTTAGTAACCGTTTTTTCCCCTTAAACTCGAGTTCCTATTTTTTTAATTTTCAAGAGGCACGAGGCTTGCTGAGTGTCTCTTAAAATAAAAAAAAAAATTGAGGAAAGAGAGTTTGAAAAAATAGGCTACTAACAAACGTTGGTTATAGGACCTGTTTCTCCATCGTACAAACATAGACTTGTACGTAAAGATTCAATCAAAGTCGTCCTAGGTGCTTCCTAACCGTTACTATGTCTAATATTTGAATATCGATAGAATATAATCCTTCGAGGTTACGATATGTATTACAAGACTCATCTTATTTTTGCTGCAAATTCAACACTCTTCATAACAATAATCATATTAATCATTTTTTAGTTCATATCAGGAACATAGTTTATTTACAATAGTACATTTTTATTGAATCAAATTTGAAGCAAAAAGTGAAGACATTTCGACTACTTATTTTGGCACATTTTTCCCCCCTTTTGTTTATTTCCATATTATCAGATGTCCTTTGTTATTATCTTGATATTCCTAGAACATTTTTTTCTCTCATTAAGTTTGCTTGAAATATCTGAATAAAGAGTATTCTAATGCACCTGAAGAAGATATTATATATCGTGTAAGGGAATTTGATTACTGGCATACTTATTAGGGCTATTAGAAATTTATAATATTACGGCACGCGCAGTTTACTGCTATACACATTTTCCTATGTTAATTAAAGAAGTGCTGAACAGTAGAGCCCAGCTAATAGTGTACATGCAATGCAGCTTTTTTTCTCTGATCATGAATTATCAAAATTTGAGGAACAGTCAACTTGTACAAGTAATGCAGCCTATCGATTATAAGGTCTATCTATTCTCTCTGTCCTTAAGCTATAGTTACTTGGAAATTTTACTCAAAGCAGTTAGAGCTCAGTTAGCCTAATGGCTCTCCTCATAGTATCCGAGCATCCGTACAATTGCATAGAGCACTACACTTTAGCTCTGTTTATAGGGCGAAAAATTTACTCGTGTATATTGTGTGCAAAAGTATTTAAATTTTCTGTGCGTTCACTTGGGGAATTGGGTACTATGAGTATATGTATAGCATTTAAGATAATTTTTCAAATATTGTTCATTTGCAAAATGGCTTCAATAAGGCTCGTTTCCTCACGGAGAATGATTCATTGGTTGTATATTGTTTTACGTCCCATTCGAGAATTTTTCACTCATTTAGAGACGTCTCCATATACCGCTGAAGGGCTTCAAATTTTGACCTTTACTAGGCACTCAGGGCCATTGAGCAGTGAGGGATCTTTATCGTGCCAACGCCTGCCGTGACACGGGGCCTCGGTTTTTAAGGTCTCATCCGAAGGACCCGCAACTTTCACTTCAAAGTGCCGGGCGCATGGCGAAGAAACAGTTGCTATCCATTTTTTATCAACTTAGGTCAGTCGCGGCCGAGATTCGAACTCACGACCCCCCGATCACGGAGCGAGCGCTCTACCGACTGAGCTACCGTGAACGGTCACGGAGAAAGAGAATGCTATAATCACGTGTTCATTTTGGGTGCTCCCATGAACAAAATATTTGGAGAAACCAAAAATTCAACTGATCGGTTTTAAAAAGATATGTCCAATAGAATTTTTAACGGAACAGTAATTAGAAAATTTCGGAATGCACAGAATATCTGCCGGGCCACGGACAATTGTTACCATCACTGAACACAACGGATGAACCACTCGGTTATCAGATGAACGTACGCGCGAGCTTGCTTCCAACTGGTAAAGCAAATTTTATTATGCGTTCATTTGACGAGAATTGCACGCAGGAACAAAATATGTGAGCAAAAAGATATGTACCTATCCCAAAATAGGTGTAAGTTAACTTAAATAAGTAAATTCTTCGTACGAGCAAATGTGTTTATATGTGCCGAAATTTCTTTTGTGATATATTTGCATATCTTTAATAGATTTGGAATTGTGCATAGCTCGCCGTATAAACAAGGCTATACATGTATATGCATAAAATATACGAAACAAAATAATTCTTCATATTGTCAATTACGATGAAATTATAATTGCATAAATTAATCTTAAAGGAATAAAGATTTCTTTAATAACTCTTCCGAGCTGAGAGCTTAAGTAATTTTTTGATCACCCGTTGACCCGCGTCCGTCTTGTCTGTTCATCCGTACGTCTGAGAACTTTACACATTTTCTACATCCTCTCAAGAAATTTCAACCAAACTTGGCACAGGGTATCTTTTGGGTAATGCTGGTTCAAACTTCTTTTTTTAAATGAGGGGACATGCCTTCAACAGAATAATAGTCGAGAAAAGGCAAACATAGGGTTGGGTCATTAAAAGCGGCCACAAATGGGTTCAAAGTTTAACGTAGGAATTTTTTAAAGCTTCTTGTCAAGAACAGAAGGGTCATGAGAAATCACATTATAACGCATCCTGGGGTAGTTCAGATTAAAGATTGTTCATAGTATAGCTTTAGAGGTGAGGTTACAATAGGGAATCAAAGCTTCAGGGAAAAATCTTTATATAATCACCTTCTACTTAAGAACACCAGTTATTAGTCATATTACGAGGGAAATTTGAAAAGTTCTGAGAACTGTTTGCTAAAATATTAACCATTTCACGGTAGATAATGTTATAACGACATCATTTTCTTATTTTTATTAGTCATATATTTCTTATTTTCTTTTTTTATGACGTTATGACCCGGAAAATGACGTCAGAGTTTCGAAACTTAGTCGCGGTTTTGTCCACATGACATTCAAGTAATGAACAAAGGTTGACTTTAAAATTTTACTTCGCTGAAATTGTTCACTTGTTACGTCATTTTTATGGTCAGCATACTAAACACACGGGATTCTGACGCCATTTTCGGAGTTATTACGTAATAAAAATTAAAAAGTGACGTCACAATATGTTTATATCTTTGTGATCAAACTCAGTTTTTCTCCGTTTAACGGTTAATATTTTATCAAACAGTTCTCAGAACTTTTCAAATGTCCCTCGTAATATACTAGCATCTCAGGTAGTGCAGATTCAAGTTTATTCAAATTGTGGTACCTGGGGAGAAAGGGGAGGCAACAAAAGTGGATCAGAGTTTTACTTATAAAATATATGGGATACTTAAGTTATTTTTAATTTTTTTCTAAGAAGAACTGAAAATGATTATTCATACTATGCAAAT